CTCTATAATAACAATCATGTGCCGTTAAATTACTGATAAAAATTCGTTATTTACATATTAGCAACAGAAAAAAATATCTGCGCTACTGAATAGATTAATAGATAATGCAATATTAATGGTAAGATTTTACTCTCGTGATGTCCATGATAGGATAAAATACTGCAAAATAATGTCATCAAATTTATGCTCTTGAAAATCTCTAGAAAAAAAAACAAAATAAAGTAATTTGTAAATATATGAACTGCAATTTCCTAAACCCATAAACGAATATATATACACATAAAAAAAAAAAAAAAAAAAAAGAAAATAAAAATAGATAAATAAATGTGTGAATAACTTTCCAAGAAGAACACATAGAAATTTAACAGAAGACTAACTCAATGCTCACAATCTAATAAACACGTCAACCTGATAAAATAATAATAATAATAATAATAATAAAGAATAAAAAAAAAAAAAATGAATTGTAATAACATTTTTTCTCGGCGTTTGCAGACCATGACACGCACAAATCATGCACGGGAAGAATGTTGCAATGTTGACTGTCATGCAAGGGTGGATCATGAGGTTTGGGTTCATTTCCTTCAATCAAATACACTTAATTATATTCAGGGAAGTACATTTAAGTCTGAAATACGGTAGTGTATATATGATACATGTGTATGAAAAGAACGCTTAGATCCATAAAGCACGAGAGAGAAGACATGGGAGAGAGAGGGAGAGGGAGAGTGAGAGGGGAGGGGAGGGAGAGGAGAGGGAGAGGAGGAGGGAGAGGGAGAGGGAGAGGGAGAGGAAAGGGAGAGGGAGAGGGAGAGGGAGAATTGGAGAGGGAGAGGGAAGGGGAGGGAGAGGGCGAGGGAGCAGGGAGGAGGGAGAGGGAAGAGGGAGAGAGAGATGGGAGAAGGGAAGGGAGAGGGAGTGGGAGAGGGAGAGGGAGAAGAAGGGCGAGGGAGAGGGAGAGGGAGAAGGAGAGGGAGAGGAGAGGGAGAGGGGAGAAGGGGAGGGAAGGGAGAGGGATGGGGGAGGGAGAGGGAGAGGGGGAGGGAGAGAAAGGGAGGGAGAGGGGAGGGAGATGGGGAGGGAGGAGGGAGGGAGAGAGGAGGGGAAGGGAGGAGGGACGAGGGAGAGAGAGTAGGGAGAGGAGAGGGAGAGGGGTGGGAGAGGAGGGGAGAAAGGAGAGGGGACGGGGGAAGGGGAGGGAGAGGAGATGGGAGAGGGAGAGGAACAGAGACGCGGAGAGGCGAAGACGAAGGAGCACAAGATAGGATGGGGAAGAGGGAGAGGGGAGAGTGGGAGAGGGGAGGGAGAGGGAGAGGGAGAAGGAGGAAGGGGGGGAGAGGGAGGATGGGCAATGATCTTGGGGAATGAAGAGATGATGGTAACACACGGCCAGGGAGAGGTGAAGAGAAGAGGTGACATGGTAATTGGTCTGCAGGCGGGCGAGGGAGAAGGAGGAGGGAGGAACGAGGGAGGGGGAGGGGGAGAAGGGGAGGGGGTGAGAGAGAGAGAGAGAGAGCGAAGAGAGGAGAGAGAGAAGAGAGGAGAGAGGAGAGAGAGAGAGAGAGAGAGGGAGAGAGGAGAGGGAGAGAGAAAGCAGAGAGAGAGAAAGAAGGAGCAGAGAGGGAGCGAGGGAGGAGGGGGAGGGAAAGAGAGAGAGAGAGAGAAGAGCGAGAGAGGAGAGAAGAGAGAGAAGAGAGAGAGAGAAGAGAGAGAGAGAGGAGAGAGAGAGAGGAGAGAGAGGGAGAGAGAGAATTGAGAAAGAGGGAGAAGAGCAGG